TCCCATTCGTCAGGCTGGTGTTTTCAGCTTCGTGCTTCGAGGAGCAATGTGTGGTCTTAGCTGTTTCTTCCTTTTAACTGCCAATGGGGGGTATGAACTGATTGGGTGGGAGCTTGGCTGTGTTCTGATTGGGTGGAGGTATGTTCTGATTGGTTAGGGGCTTGGCTGTGCTGATTGGCTGGGGGGTTGGCTGTGCTCTGATTGGCTGGGGGAGTGTTCTGTTTGGGTGGTGGCTTTGTTAGTCTGAGTTGCAGGGGGGTTTAAGATGGTGGGCTGCCTTGCTATTTTTTGGCTTCGCGTTCGTGGTCATGCCTCATCTTCATGGTGGGTGTCAGTTTGCTTCATGTATGGATTGGAGAGGTTTAAAGTGGCTAATGATGCAGCTGTTGTCTGGCTTCTGGTTTGTGGTCGTGCCTCATCATCGGTTTGGCTTTGGGTTTGCTTTTTGCGTGGATGTGTGTTGGTGACATCCTGTGTAGTTTTTGTGAGTGTGGGTTTGGTATCATTTTTTGTGTTAGGGAGTCGTTTGTCAATATTGTCAATATATACACACAGTTCAATCCCTTCTTTTATAGAGATCAATAATGCATCATGCTTTAAATCTCAAAACTAAGGCAAATGCAAACTAGATTTAATAAAATAATAATGTCCTCGATTTATTCTTGTATCAACATCTTAGAACAAGGATTGTCAGGTTCTTCATAATAGCTTGCTTAGATCAAACTTCCTCAACCTGTCCTTCTCCAAATGGATTGGAATTACAACTATTACTCATCCAACACAATCAGCATATACGGTGTTCAGGAATTATGTACATTGTATAGAAATTCTGAAACAATATTAAGTGGCTGTTGCTTGGGGAAAATGCTGATTGCTATCTTGAAATATTCTTAAGAACAAAACTGTTTTGCATCCAGAAATTATGATATATATACTATGTATAAATTATGCCAATAATGTAACTGATTACAGGCTTGGATTAAAATGACTTTATTTGTCTAGTTTTGGATGTAATGTACAAAGTACAGTAACCAGCTATCACTTTCATTACATTAGCTCTACACTAACCTCTTTTGTAAGCCAGGCTAGAACTAACTTTTGTGAACGTTCAGTATATAATTGTTAAAAATGAATACATGAAATAATCGATCAAGCCCCAAAAACCTTATGAGTATACTTTGTGGGTATATTAACATATATTTTATATGGGACATTGAAAATATGTGAACTTATGGCATTATGTATCTGTATCATATACTGCATATAAACTCTCTCTATACATATTAAATTTGTTTGATGCCAAATGGCTGTGAGGCAATATATATTATGCAAGGCCAAAACGGCTTAGTGTTTTAAAATTCTATTCCACCATTCTTTTTAAAAGAATGAAGCAAAAGAAGCAAAATGCTTATCTATGAAAAAGAAAACCAGTAAAACAAAAATATGTTTATACAAACATAAAGGGGTACTTTCAAAAAAACCTAACATATACCACATTTTAATAATCTAGTGAATAAGCTAACTGTTCTGAAGCACAGTTTTAAATTTTTCTTGGTTTTAAAAATGATTGCAATAAAAGACCACAAAACACTCATTATGGGATGAAAACATCCAGTCTACAGATACAATGAAACAACATAATTTTCTTAAAAAGCAATACATTTACGTATATCATCTTTGTTTTTTAGATTCCAATATAATTTCATTATATAGAAATTCCCTAGAACTTACTTTCTTTTGAAAAAGGATGTTGAGAAGTTCCCAGGTTTAGCCCATGTATTCTAAATAGTAAGTACAAATAGTTGTTATAAAGTAGTACAAACTGTTTGCAATTCCCCTTTTAAAAACATTTTGTTATGAAAACAGAATGCAGATTCAATGTTTCCTCAACTGATTGTGATTTATACAATCAGCATGTTGTATGTGTGTTTGTATGTGTGTGTATGTGAAGATGTATTCCTTATAGTAAAACTGGCATATCTGATGTGATCATAAAGCATTTAGTTTTGGGGTTACTTGGACATGTTTCAGCAATAACTGCTTCCTATTAGATTCCATCCATACAATATAATGCACAAACTGTTCTCCTTTAGCAGAATATTTCTAAAGTATTTTTTAGGTCAAGACCATATTTAAGAGTGACTTATCCCCTTGTGCAAAGTACAGGCAGCTGTTGATTATCCAAACCATAAAAGGAATGTCACTGAAAAATGACACACCTCAGAGTTGTTCATGGCCAGCCAACTGTTGTTGGGGACACCCTTTCTGGGGGAAAAAGAAGATGAAACTATGTGATTATCTGACCAAAACCAAGATTGAGGGGAAAATAGAGAGCATTGCTTCATTGTGAGTAATTGTTTTTTCCAACAAAACGAGGGCAGATGTATAGCCTCTAGAACAACACCCATCTGACAGTTGCCAATTTCAGTCTAATCAAAGTGTAAGACTGACTACTGATGAAGAGAAATACATGATCTGTGGCATCCCTCCAGACATTGCGAGGCTCTGCTCATGGTGCAAACATTCTACACAGAGAGCCAAATTTCTCTCTAGGCAAGACTAAGGGAGTGTATCAAGTCTTACAGCCAAGTAAGCAGGAGGCTTACCATATGCTTTTATTTATGTGTGTGTGAGAGAGAAAAAAATGCTGTTTTCCCTCCCACAGAAATACTTTTAGAAAAATAGCAGAAATAGATGATTTTCATATTGAGGTCATTGGCAAGGCCCTGAAGAACCTGAAACAAATATAGTATAAGAAAACAAATGTCATGTAGAAGAGCTAGGTTCCCTAAAGAAAGGCAATATATAACTCTAAAATGAAAGGCACATAGGGTAAGAAATACCACATCACTCCTTTCTTTTTCACTTTTGCAGTATCTCTACCCATAGATTATGGCATTTTGGCCTCTTGAAAATGAGATTTGTGTCAACTGTAAAGTGTCATCACAGAGAATTGCTGAAGAACAGCAACACATCTCATGAAGATGCCAAGAAACTGACGGACAATGCAGGTTATGACAGAGACCAAAAATAATATTAGCAGTAGTGGTATTGAATACTAGAAACACCAGATACTGTACTATTTAGGCTCAGAGTAGTGAGAACTGTGTAAGGAGTCCTGGACCATTGGCAATTAGAGTGTGAGAGCCCAGAGTGTTAATTGTAATGCAAAGTGATCTTTACACCAGACCCAAAACAACAGCCTATTTTCTACCCATTAGCACAAGATAACTATCAGAACCCAAGAATTCCACTGCAAGACACACTATTGCAGCACAAAACTGGAGAGTAGCAACTTGGTTTACATACAAGTGACTTACGGCAAGGTTGCCTGTATAAGAAGTAGACACAAGAAACAGTAGAAATGATAGTCACAACTGATTATAATATAGAACACAGTAAATACAGCATCGAAGGTTAGAGCTCTAAGATAGGAAATAGAGCCATTGGGACGTAGCATATACAAATGTTAAGATACTGTATAGCATTGTAGACATAAATAATAATTAGAAAAGTAAATCTCTGTTCTAAATTTTAAGTTGTCCTAGAAACCATCCTGAAAAATATGCAGGATATAAACTTGGCCTGTGAAAAGGCCTCTTTCTAAGATTTCTTTTTAATAGTTCAGTGTTTGCCACAATAGAGAAGCCCTTATGTGCATTAGATTTCATAAGTCTTCACAAGATCAGAATGTTCACGGTTCTCTTTTTTCTTTAAATGTGCCAGGTTATTTTACTTTCCCCCTGGTGTATGACGGGCCTTAACAATGGTCAGAGCAATCCCAGACTATTAGTACTGGCATCTCTTGATTGTTTCTCACTTGAAGGATAAAACCACATACACAGCAGATGTCTGTGGAGATTCTCAGTCATTCAGGTCATAGTTGTCTCAAAGGTGCTTTTTTCAACATCAGTTGATGAAACTTCTTGGATGAGAAGCGAAATGTTTCCTTTTTCTTCCTCAAGGAAAAAACAATGCAGTTGCCTTTTGAAAAAAGCACCTTTGAGATATACAGCAGACCCTGTCCTGTTGCTCTCAAGCACAATGGATGACCCTGTCTTCTTGCCTTCAAGTTCTGGATATGGAATAAGTTGGTGGCATCATTCTACCTTCAGCTTAGGTTGCAAAACCACTTATGTCTATCTTGGCTGATACATTTTTCTCTTGCCTCCAACCTTTTATTAACTGAAATGAAGACCCCTTTTTAAACCTTACAGGCATGATACGTATGCCAGCTGCTATTCTGTTCGATTCATATGCTTAAAGAAACTGCATTATTTCAGGGTGAAGGTTACAGAAAATGTCTCCTTTTTAAATTTATGTAATTTAAATTTAATTTAATTACAATTCAATTATTATTTATACAGCCCCTTGGATTTTATAGAATATTGGATAGCAACTAAGTAAGCTGAGAAACACACATGTAATTGAAAGAAACATTTCAGATCTAATTCCTGTTGGGTTGACAAAATGAGACCAGGGTTTTAATTTCAAACTGGGGTTTATTTGACTGAAAGTTCCTACTCTGGGAGGGAGGGGGTGTCACTGCATACAGAAAATTAGCATACAAATGGAATGTATTAAGATAAAATGTTTTCCTATCATGTAGTGTTCTTTATGCATGTTTGTTAAAGGGCGGAGACATTCACATAAATATGCACATCAGATACAAAATCATGAAAAAGAATACCTGCTTACTAACGTGGTACAATCCAAACAGATTTGCAACCCCGCTGAGAAGCTAGGCAAAATCCTCCATCTTTATCAGAACTGCTGAATGACTTTTCTGCTATTATTGATCAAGTTTCAAATACCATAATCCATATTTTCAGTTTTACCTGTTTCCATTTTATCTGATTGCTGGCCTTACGGGGACAATAAAGCTTTGATTTTATTTGATTCATTCTTTTATCTTTAGAGCTCAGATTCCAGCATTTCTCTTCCTTTGAGCATGCAACGAAAGGTCATTTTTGGTTTATTAATATAACTCAAAATTTTACCTGGAAATGTTCTCATTATTTGGCACAATCCTTCCTTTCTGCAAAGCAGATGCTGGATTTGCGAGAGAACATTTGCCTGGGAATGAAGAGAGAAGTACCAATTATTGCAATTTTACAAGACTGTTTTTAGGTGCCATTGAAGATGCCATTACAGCAAGGTTTGCTGATAAAGGAAAATAGTGGCCATCCCCCTGAGTAGAATAGGGGGGAAAAAGCTTCAATTAAGCTTGAAGAGCCAATTTAGTGCAGGGATTAAAGCATGGGAATAGAAATTGGCAGACTGGGAGTTCTAGTCCTCCCTTGGAGACCAACCCAATTGGGTTAATTTGGGCCAGTCACTCTTGCTCAGTCCTAGGGAGCAGGCAATGGCAAATCATGTCTGAAATCTTTCCAAGAAAACTCCAGAGAATCAACAGCAGTCAACACTGACTTGAAGACACAAACACAAGCTTCCATGTTTTTTTTTTTCAATCAACCTCAATTTTGCTTTATTTTTAATTATAAGTTACATATTGTATCCCCTTTTTATGAATATGATCACATTTTAAGGCAGGATTAAAGTCTTAGAAGAGAAGTATCCAAGAGATTCAGAGTTTTTATTAAAATGATGAAAACAACATGTCACCATTGTGACAGAAGCTCCTGTGATGTCAGGATACATGTAAAAAAATGGGTATAGTATACATCATACTGGATTGATTTTGCTTCCCAGCAGAATGATTCTGTTTTTATTATTTGTCCCCTTGACAACCTGCTCCCCATTCCAACATCTCTACATACTTGGGAAGGGGAAGGGGAAGGGGAAAGGGAAGGGAAGGGAAGGGAAGGGAAAGGAAAGGGAAAGGGAAGGGAAGGACTAAATGCATAGGCATTGAACAGGACTGTCAATATAACATGAATTCACTCTGCAACATGCACCATAATATTTTATTATTTATATTTTTATTTGTTGTTCATAATTGTACTTTTGCCTGTGGGGCATGTCTGTTTGACATGTTTGTAAAACAACATTTTTCCTTTTAATCTTAAAGACAAGTATGACAAGAAAAAAATTCTGTTCATAAATATATCTCGCAAAATGAACATTTTTTGCTTTATTGGGATATATCTATAAATTGTTTAAAAATCTCATTTTTTCTTTCTGCACTATTCCATGTGGGTATTTGTGAGAGAGATGAAATACAAGAGTCCTGTTTAGAAACTCCTAGATAATTATGACATTCTGTGATTCTGACAGTTTAGCAAATAACCTTGCCTCTGATGAAATCAATATTAATCTATGAATATTCACATTATTCAACATCTTGGCAAAAACATATTGTTTTTTTCCCCTTCCCAGCAATGTTGGAAGAAAAGATTTTAGAAAATGCACTTGAGACTTCACTCATGCAAAGCATCTGCTCTAATACCAGCAAATTCCTGTGAAAGTGAGGCAGTACTACAATGAAGAATTGGCTTCTGATAGTATGCTTCATAATAAAATAAAAATGCAGAGTTAAAAAAAAAGTATTTAAGCATGTGCCAGAAAGAGGTCATTTTGCAGCCATACCTTTTGCAGTAGTGTTGGTTGATATGATTTCACTATATTTATGCAATTTTCATGGTCAGCTTTGTTAGATGAGAGGCAAATCAAAAGGTCCCATGACCTTAATTCATCTATGATAAAAAGAAAGTAGCATAATGGGAATTAACTGTGATGAGAAAGGACAGCAAACCAATTAAACAGAATTTTTTTATTCAAATGATGCTGTTCATCTGTGGCAAAAACAACAACAAAGAATGGGGAGAAGACACCAATTTGAAGGCTTTATCGTGTCTTGGGACATGTGATCAATATGATTCTGTGTAAGTTTGAGTTCAATGGTTCGCATATTTACTGTGACATCTACTATTTTTCTTTTTGGGTTGTAAGCGTTAGTTTTACTTTAATTTCTTGCTGATGGTACTTTAATTTAGTGCTGATGGGGTTATTGTTGGAAAAGGAGATGGGGCAAAAGAAGGGGGAATGGGAATGGAAAGGAGGAGGAGGAGGAAGAGGAGAAAGAAGAAATAATAATAATGGTATTATTATTATTATTATTATTATTGATCATCGCACAGTCAGCCAGATGTTCAGACTGGGTTTGGCATTTTGTCTACCTATCGAGTCCTTACCCAGGACCTGGGATAGGCAGATGTGGATGTTTGGTGGTATTACAGATATCGTCGCAGGATGGAAGCAGTTCCTAATAAGGCCGCCTTTTGCAATTGACTAATAGCAAATTTGCCAATGCCAATGGTGTTCAAGTGGTACTCCAGTTGTTTTGGGATTGCACCCAAGGCGCCTATTACTATTGGTACTACCCTTGTTTGCTTTTGCCACAATCTTTCTATTTCTATTTGTAGGTCTTTGTATTTTGTTATCTTCTCCAGTTTGTTCTATTCTGCTGTCTCCAGGCACTGCCACGTCCACTATCCAGACTTTTTTGTCTTTCTTATCGACAATTGTTAAGTCTGGGGTGTTATGTTGCAGGTGCTTGTCTGTTTGAATTCTAAAGTCCCAGAGCAGTTTAATTGTATCATTTTCTATGACTTTCTCTATTTTATGATCCCACCAGTTTTTGTTTACAGGCAAATGATATTTTTTGCAGATCTTCCAATGCACTATTGTTGCTACTTTGTCATGCCGCTGCTTGTAGTCAGTCTGTGCAATCTTCTTGCAACAGCTTACCAAGTGGTCCACTGTTTCTTCAGCTTCTTTGCATAGGCGGCACTTACTGTCTGTTGCTGTCTTCTCAATTTTGACTTTGTATGCATTTGTCCTTAAGGCTTGGTCTTGTGCAGCCAGAATTAGTCCTTTGGTCTCTTTCTTCAATTTTCCTGCTCTTAGCCATTATTATTATTACTATTATTATTTTTATTTGCCCTTGGCTTCCAAGAAATGTTTTTATGCAACACTGCTTTGAAGACAGAATCTTCCAATTGTAATGTCTTCCCCAAAGTAACATTTTTAGAAGAACATGGAAAGCAAAAATGGCTTGTGAGCCCCAATTCATGAGGAAACTTGTATACAGGTGGGAAAGCTATCACTCATCTTGAACTGGGAACACACCTATATATCTGAACATGTTTACTGCATTGATTTTTATGGTTAAATGATAAAGTGTCTGTACTTGCAGGTTGTTTAGATCAAGAAACAGACTCCACAAGAAGAGGGGAACTAAGCTTTATTAGATAGACTATATAGGTTTTACAAGACTGACTGACTGACCTTCCCTCTTTCTTTGTCCCTTTTGTCCCCTAAGGAATCAGGGAAGACTTACTCTAAGTCGCTTCCTTGTATAAAGTGAGTTTCTCCTGGCTTCATAGCGCCAGAGATAAAATGGAGAGTTTGCTTATGTCAGAAGTAGATGCACTATTGTTTCTCACCTTGCAATAATCTCATAAGCAGAATAGACAAATAGTAAACTACTAGTTTTTTTCAAACAAATAAACATTAAACTTCAAGCTCAAAACAGAGACCCAGGTTTCTTTTCAGATTTCTTTAAATACAGAGCATAAGGAGGATATATCTATTCACCCACTTCAAAAGAGAAGCAGATTAGTTTGTAAATTATTTTCTATCATCAAAGTTAACCTGAGTTGTTTGGAGATGCAAAACTTCCATTTCAAATGCCACATATGTTTATACATTATTAAGCTATAAAGAAGTTAGGAGGGAAGTAGAATCTGGACCTTTCTACTCCTAATCCAACGCCACATTGGTTCTAGTGTAGTTTTTTCACTCACACTGTGATCCCAACCTTTCTGCCTGTCACTTTCCTAATATATGAAAACTTTAGTTTTATCAATTATACTTGGTTTAAATTTGTCATGCAAAACAGGGTATGAAAGGGAAACAGCTTCACAGCATCAATGTATGGTGTTTATATCTATCTTTCCTACAGCAGTTCAAGGCAGCATATATAATACTCCCTTCTATTATTTGTGATAACATCTACCCTGTAAGGCTTCTAAGCATTTAATTCAATTTCTGGCAAGACCTTATTCAAATTTAGATTCTAAAATTATGATTATGATAAACTTTTTCTGAATGTTGCCTTCTGAACAGGCCACATGGAATGTTTAACAGAGCACTAAGTGCAGATGAAAAACAAATTGTAGGAGTAAAAACACATTCTTTTATCAAGAGCTTTTATTGTGGGTGCTAGGACTCTGTAAACAGAGGCAAGATAGAAAAAACATCAACATATTGAACTGCACCAAAGATAAGCTTGGAGATTTTAAATGATATATTGGATATCATAAGTGAGATTGAGAAGAGAATGAAAACAAAAAACAATTCTTTCTTGGTGCTGGCAAAATAATCCTATCTATACTTTTTTTGGTTTAGAAGAATGAAATCAATAAATAGTTTCCATGCAAATAATGCTTGAGAGATGCCTCAGAAAACTCCACAGTTATAAGACGTACTGTAAATTAATGGGTACTTTATGCAATAATTTTTAATCTGATAGCAATTGGGTTCCTATGCCAGCCTTCCTCATGCAGGAGAGGAAAGACCATGAAGTTGTCACTGGATAATGTTGACATGATTAGAGAAAAGAGAGAAGTGATAAGTAAAAGTATGACATAATGAATTGATGTAGTGGAAGGGTAGACAGGTAGAGCAACCAGTATCGGCATAAACTAAATTGAATTATCTTTCTTATCTTTTTTCCTACATGGTATATTTAATTTTTTTGACTTACTATTTATTACTCCTTTGTTGTGTTTTTGTATGTAATTGCATGAGGGTTATGCGTTGCATGTGATTTAGATTTTTTTTTGCAGCAGCAGATCCACAATGCTAGAGGGAAAAGATTCCTAAAATAATTCACTAGATTGGAATCAGAGGCAAATTGAGACCACACATACTTTACAAATATACACAAGGGCTGAAAGGATTCTTCTATTTTAGGGATTTAACTTTTTAAAAAACTGCTATACTTATAATAGAATTGGATTCTTAGAGGGACAGCGTTTCTGGTACTTTTCTGAGTTGGCCATATCAGCAGCTTGGAATTCAGAGAATTAAAACTTTATTAAGCCTGGTCATTCTTATAGCACATAATCTGTTAGTTTTATATGCTAAAAGTATGTATGTTTCTGTTAATAATCATTCCCTTAATGGAGCAGTCTTGTCATTTATTTCTTATGGAACCATGGATTGGTTCTTTTTATTGCCTTTTAATAGTAATCCCCAAAGGGCCTAATTTAAAGTCGGTTATCATCTTCCCTTGCCTCTTTTCAATGTCCAGATTTCATGGCCATGCGCTATTACTGAAAAACCATTGCTCTGTTATTACCTTGAAAAAACAACCTTCCTAATCTTGGCTATGTTTGTTATTATTTTCCTCTGTAGAGTGAATGCCTGCTTTATTTGTCTAATGCATTTTTATCTCTGTTTGAGCTCAAGAAAGGAAAACTATCTACCATTTTCATTTCTTGACTGTCAACTGTAAATTTGCTAAGTAGGCTGGTGGATACCATGTTTTAGTTTTGTCCAATGCTTTTTTTCTAAAAAAAAAAAAAAAAGGTGGTGGAACTCACATACGTCATACAACCCGCCTTGCCTATCCTACAAGGTTCCACCCAAAAAAGGTGCTGGAACTCCGTTCTGGGCAGTTCTATGAGAAAAAGAGCCCTGGTTTTGTCTACTATACGTTCTGCACATCTTAAATTGTTAGTATTTCAGCTTACCATTTTGATTACATCTTTTATCTCTTTGAGTCCTGCAATTTTTATCATTGCTCTAAAAGTCTTTGTAAAATCTTTCAACCCAAAATTTTGCTTCCAGGAGCAATTAATGCAATGCCAAAAAATGGAATATGTAGTTATTAATGCAATACTTTAGTAACAACATATCCCATTTTTTGCATAGGTCCACAGACCATTTTTTTTATAAATGACTCTGCTTGTAATCAGAAAAATGAATATATGTTCTAAATAACAGCAAAGAAATAATAAAAATAGAATAGAATAGAGCTGGAAGGGACCTTGGAGGTCTTCTAGTCCAGCCCCCTGCTCAAGCAGGAGAACCTATACCATTTCAGACAAGTGACTGTCTAGTCTCTTCTTAAAAACCTCCAGTGATGAAGCACCCACAACATCTGAAGGCAAGCTGTTCCACTGGTTAATTGTCCTCACTGCTAGGAAGTTTCTCCTTAATTCCAGGTTGCTTCTCTCCTTGATTAGTTTCTATCTATTGTTTCTTGTCCTGCCCCTTTGGTGCCCTCTTCTTTGTGGCAGCCCCTCAAATACTGGAATACTGCTATCAGGTCACCCCTATTTCTTCTTTTCTTTAGACTAGCCAAACCCAAGTCCTGCAGCCGTTCTTCATATGTTTTACTCTACAGGCCTTTGATCATTTTAGTTGCTGTTCCCTGAACTTTTTCCAAAGTCTCAATATCTTTTTTGTAGTATGGTGACCAAAATTAGTTGCAGTATTCCAGGTGTGGTCTTACTAGGATTTTATAAAGCAGTACTAATTCTTCCTGTGATTTTGATTTTCTGCCTGTTTATACAATCCAGGATTGTATTAGCTTTTTTGGCTGCTGCTGCACACTGCTGGCTCATATTCAAGTGGTTATCCACTAGGACTCCAAGGTCCCTATCACAGTTACTATTTTTGAGCC